GGCGTGTGGCACCGCAATCAAGTCAGTACGCATATCCATGAGTGTGTGTTCCGTTCGAACAAAAGATAGAAACTCCCTGGCCTTGGCAGTTCTTGGCGTACTTCTCGCTCTTTGCTTTGAGGATTCCAGCAAACATTTGCATGGAGTTGTGAGGGTCCGTCTTCAGCAAGTATTTATCACTCTTCCGGCATGATCCCTCGTGAGGTCTAAAGTCCAAGGCGAAGGGTTTCCACACGCATCCATCACCGTAGCAATAGCCCCACGTGCGCTCCCAATAGCAATCCTGGGTCACCACGGGCGCAACCTATCTTGTGAAAACCCTAGCGACAAGACCTGCTCTTTAAAGGAAAAGAAGGAAGCCAATGGGAAAGGACTGGGCTCCACTGGCTCCACATTGTGGATGTTCCTCTTCTTAATCACCCTAGACTGCAGCACAGACTTGGAACCTTTCAGTTGTTTGAATGACTCCATCTGTACAACCAACAGCCAAGCCCCTCGGCCTTGTTCATATCTCTGTAGACCTTCTCCCACATGGGGTCTTCATTCTGATAGGTTAGGGCCGTCAGGTTGACATCCTCGTGAATGCGGACGGCTTCATGCCCACCCAGGAGCAGCAAAATGAAGAACGCCTCAACATGCGGGCACATTCCTCTGGCACTGACCCTCAAAAACAATATGCAGTATTAAAAAGAAAAAACATATAACACTCACCCCAATCGACCAAACAGGCAACGCTGAACTCAGACTCTACCGTGGTATCTCTGACTCTGTGGGATCTACTCTTAAGAACTCCAAGCGGGTGATGTTTCAGAAGAACCCCCCTAGAAAGCTCTGGGATATTCAACGAAGCCAAGCATGTCTACGTCAGAGTACCCTGCCTTGGCACGCACAGTTGAATGACCGGTGCTTGGTCGAGGCATCGAATCACTGGATTTGAAACGCAACAGTTGATTGCGATGGCGCGCAATGGCTGGATATTCTGATCCTTTGAGCCCATCGTGACTGGCGGGTTTGGTCAAGTGACCTGATGGAACATCACCACGGAGGGCTTTGCAAAACCCACGCGACGCACCCCTAAACCCACCAGTTCTTTCGTCCTGGGCTTAACCCTATTCCATGCCAAAAGCCGTCCATCATGTTCCGCATCCGCTGAGATCCGCCCTCCGCTGAGCTGGGAGGGAGAGGTGTCATCGCTGGTTGGGTCATTTTTTGGGGGGGACATGAAGCACTCATGAAGCAGTTGTTCAGTTCGGGATTCCCAGTTCGTCTGGTTTCCAGGACGATCCGTGACGGTGTTCCTTGATCTAAAAGGCCGCCCTCCATGCCGCGACGATCCGGACCGGCGGCTCTTGTTTTGGCGCTCTTCACATTGCAGCATTCATTCAGCCTTGGTGCTGTTGCCTTTCTTGCTGGCCACCTTGCGAATGCCTTTCACCACCCACTTTCCCAGCTTCCACACCAACTTGAACGGAAGGATGATGTACCTCCCAGTGCAAATCAAGCCCTTTTTGACGGCACTCCACTTGGACATCCCCTTCTCAGCAACTTCACCGCCTTCACCTGTCTGATTCTCAGTCTTGCCATCCTTCTTGTCAACGGCGTCCTCCTTCTTTTCAGCCTCCTCAGGAGCCTCGATCTGCTTATTTTCGCCCTGATACCGCCCCGCGTAGTAGACACCGCAGCCAAAGGCCGACAAGAAGGCGTAGGCCATCAAGGCCGCGAAGACCACCTGAGAGATAATCGCCGAAATCACGATCGTCGCGCCGACGGCGACCACCGCCAAGAGCACCGCAGCGATCATCTGTCCATCCACCGAGGACATCACCTCCAATGCGGAGGTGCCATCACTGCTGGAAGGGATGGGGTCCAACCCGAGAAGCTCTTCATTGACCTCTTCTTGAGCTTCGCTCAAGTCCTTTTCCTCTTCACTGACCTAAGGGCGCTGCTCCGCGGTTTCACCAAAGAAGCGGCGGTTTCGAGAAAGCCAAGGCCCTAGCACGAGTCAAAGCCTCTATTTGGGGGATATACTAAAATAGGGAGACCCCGTGTTCAACCCTCTGAAAGAAGGGAAATAGATCATGGTTGGAGGTCTCCTTATTGAAATACACACCCATTTAGAGGGTGGGAGAAATCCACTGGTGCAGACGAGTCTCCATATCACCCGACGTCTCGTCCGGAGTTGTTGTCTCGTCGAGTTGGTCGGGCTCAAAGGCTTGCGTGGCTTCGATGCTGCTCTTGGCTTCATCATGCTCCGCCTGGCGCAGCGCAAAGCGCTGGGAGGCCATCACTACTAGCAAAAAAAAGAGAGAAACTGGCGCCGATTGTAGCCAATACAATCATAGAGGTTTGTTGGATCATGGCTTTTTCGTACTAGGATGTTGCAGAGTTTCATCTTCAAACCAACCTCTGCCTTGCTGCCCTGGGTCAGCTTGGTGATGAGGTCAACCATTTTCTTCACAGTGCCTTCGGGATTCTCTTTCAAAGCATCCGAATCCAAGATCTTGTCTTTCAGCTTCCCAACCAAGGCGCCATCCTGCAGAACTGGCACCTGAAAATCCTCAACCCCCCTGCCAAACCCTACACTCTACGACATGAGAAGTGTACTGATTCTCTTCCGAAAACCAAGTTGCTCCGCGCATGTGAAGCCTGCTTGTCACTTCAAACGCAGAAAACCTCGTCCTCACCAAAGGTCTCGGCCATGTTGGACAAGCTGCTCGTGAACGCCTCCTGCAGCGCCTTTTGCTCCTGCCCGCGCCCGTGGCTTCACAGCCGCGGCCACCGATGTCCGTCGACGTCGGTTGACCGAAGGCGGCCCAGGTCGAGTTCCTTTCGCGTCGGTGTCCCGTTTCACCCGAAAACAAGTTCGGACGAAAGGCCCCACCAGCCCTGGCCCAAACGGATGTCCATATAGGTCTCCTGGTTTTGATCCGATCCAGCCATGTGGCTGGTGTCGTTTCAGAAAATCCCCTTGCCGGTCAGCAAACTTCTGCAACCCTCCCAGTGGTTTCAGACAATCCACCAAACTGTGGCCAGGGCCATGAAATGCAATCAAATCCCATCAGACACTTGTCCTCTGCTTGTGGCTTCTCGTTGAGCTCATCTTTGGCTAAAGCCATGAAGCGCACCGCGTTGACCATATGCTGCAAACGGCGTTTGCACTTGAGATTCCATCCAGAGAATCGTCCTGGCGCACTTGTTGCGAAGTCCACAAAAAGTACTCAACAAATTGCCAGATCTTTGCGCACGCGCTTGTGTGTGTGTAACCCTTGGAATCATAGGGATCCTTTCGGATTGTTTT